GACATGCAGCGGGACCTGGCCAGTTGTGCAGCGGGTGGTTGTAGTGATTGTAGCTTCAGGCATATGTGCAGTACAGTTCAATGCAGCGCAGTTCGACGCAGTGCAGTGCAGTTTGGTGCAGTGCGTCACCACGATGTCCGCCTCATCGTCCGATAATCATCCCGCCACGGACTGCAGATCGGCGCGGCTGCTCGCCGTCAAAGGCCGGGGAGGCGGAGGCGGCTCAACGCGGCGCTCAGGAGCAGCGCGGGGGCGGGCGGGTCGGCGGGTCGGCGGGGAAGTCGGGGGTGAACGAGCGGCGGTGCGCCGGCAAGCAAATTGGATATCGGAATAGCGGGAGCGGGCAGGCCGCGCTGGGGGAGGTGCGGCCGCGGCCGCCAGGTCTCGGCTTGGGCCGGCCCGAGGTCTGGAAATCTGAAACGTCACGGGGGAGTATGGTAATGGCCCGAATAGACGGCCACCCCGATTTCCTCCCTCCTCGTCCCCCCTTTTCCATGTCTTTCGTCTCGCTTCTCTCTCTCTCTCTCTCTCTCTCTCTCTCTCTCTCTCTTGGCCGGATGCCCTCTCCGAGGAAGTTTGCGAGTCGGGCCAAGGCAGAGCCAGCTTTCTTGTCTAATGAGAAAGGCTTGAGGGGAATCTAATCCATTCGGCAGAGCGATGCGCCCCCGCCCCCTCTCCCCTAGATGCACCACCGTGGTGGGGCTGCGCGCGTCACCCCAAGAAGCGCCAACCGCCAACCGCCTCCCTACCGAGCCTCTCTTAATTTTTCCGTCAGTACATTAAGATGCCGCTTGCGGTCCCCCTCCCTCCTGCAGAGCTTACTTAATATTGTTATTTACCACCCCTTTATCCGAGCCACGCCGCCGACGACGCGCGGTCCGCCGACCGCGCTGAGTTATAAATGGCGAAAGCTCCGGGGCAGGGGAAGCGCGGCGGGGTAGGGACTGCCAGCCACGCAAGAGGCGCCACTATCTCTCTCGTAAATATTCATTACGGTGCAATTACTTATCATGGTTTCATTTCAGTTCGCAAACTCTCGGCCGCTTCTAATACCAACACTTCCGCCCTCTCCCTCTCCCCCCTCCCTCCTCCCCGCTCTCCCCTCCACACCCCTCTCCACCGCGCCGCACCTGGAGCTGGAGACTGATCGCCTCGCATCGGCTCATCGCGGGATCACGTGGATCTTGTTGTGGGGGTGTTTGTGTTTATCTAACGACTTTGTTTGTCTTCAGTTTCCATCGTCTCAAATGGTACACGAAGACGTGGCGAAGAAGAAGTGAAATATTACCGAAGCTTTGCCGTTACGGTCTACACTGATAAACCAAGTGTTCAACTGCTCAACACTTGTAAGTGTGCAACCGCAAGTTCAATACTTGCAAGTGTTCAATTCAGTAGTAGCACAATTGCAAGTGTTCAACTCGGTATTTGTGCACTTGTAAGTGTGCAACTCCTCTGTTAAACACTTCCCCCACAGTAAGCACCCGATCTAGATAAGTGCACAACAGGAGAGTTGAACACTTACAAGTGCACAAATACCGAGTTTAACACTTGCAAGTGTACTACTACTGAGTTGAACACTTGCAAGTATTGAACTTGTGGTTGCACACTTACACGTGTTGAGCAGTTGAACACTTGGTTTATCAGTGTACCGAATTTTCAATAACAACAAGAGCGCGATTTTCCTTCTCCTATTCCGTTAATCAAAGACTGATTGAGAAACGTTTCGAATCGAGACACCCCAAGGGACTCCTTATCCAAGGCGCCGCTTTCCTTGACATCCACCCTCTCGCGCCCTTCACGTCGTAAATGCTGTGTTGGGACATCGGAGAGCCAAATAAAGTGACGCTATGGCCAGGGGCCTTCAGAGAAGTGACTACGCATCCTCTAGGTTCGTAATGTCTCCTACTTCACGGTCCGTCTCGGCCATGGATAAAGAATGCGCTGGTGAGAAACTACGTTTGTCCTTGGTCTCGGTTTAGGCCCGATCATTTTTCTCCCCCCC